CACCAAATTTATAAGAATTCGTTTTCCATGAAAACAAAGAAAACGCAGCTTAAAATGGTTGTATTTTGGAATTCGATTTCCATTTTCACATTACAATCAAACGACTAAAGTAGAATTCGGTTTCCTCGAATGTAACATTTTCCATGAAACTCGTTGCAATCAAACAGGTTCTTAGTCTTCTTCCCCACTTTAGGCAAAGAAGAAATGTTCAAAATAATCAGTGTTTCTTGAATTCTTTAGTAGCAATTCATAAGCCAAGATTTAAATTATAAGCCTCATACCGTCAAAATTTCCAAACAAAATACAAAAATCAATAGCAATTCATAAGACTGGAGCAGCATCTCAACACACGGCTTCTAATATTTTCATTTACTCCCCGTGGCCACCAACAGATTTTCTTGACATTTCTATCCATTTCGACCGTACCCATGCCGGCAGCCACGCACCAGTCAACTTGCCTCCCATAGGCGACCAATATCATGCTGAGGCTATTTTGCCTCTATTGGGAGGAGTTCACGCTGATTAGCATATAAATCAACAGAATATATGTGCAAAAACAGAAACTAAACGAACTGAAAAGAATCAAAGAAACCGTATCTTTTATTCACGAAAGAAGCCCTCATGCTAAAGTTCATAATCCATGCTTCAACCTCACGAACAAACCACTATTATAAAAATTAGACCCCAAGGTAAGAATACAAACGAGATTGCACTCAGACCAGACCAATAATTATACAAAATAAGAGATCTATCTTCGTAACACACGGTTCACACAAGAACCAACACTCAAACAAGTAAATTAATAAAGATTATACACTATTGAGAGAAACTAGAAATCAAAATGAGAATCTTTGATTTCAACATAGAAGAAGGGAACATGAAGCAAACGGCGCAGCTACAAAGAGAAAACAGAAGAGTCTCGAAGCCAATGTTGAAGCCCTTTTAAATGAATCACCTAATAACCACCAATCCAATGACGTTGAAGGCGACATATGGCGACATCACGGGCATCCAAATAAAAGGTAAAGAGAAAACACGATTTCAGCTTACACAGACCAACACGTTTTCTTGCACCAAGTAAAACATAACAGATGTTTGGACTAGGCTTCAATTCCAACTAAGCCAGCTCAATCAGGCCCAATGGTCATTGCATCATTGTGCCAACATTTTCCCTTCATACTCCACCTGGTACAATGATTCATACATCAGTGGTTATTAAACAATCACAAGTATCATAAGCACAAATTGCAACATCCACAGATTAGCAACAAGGTGCAACATTCAGCAAGGTCAAATAGTCCAGAAATTTGTTTAAAGGTAGAACTTTTGTACCTACATCAGCAGGGTTATAATTAGTAGATATCTTTTCAAGTTTCACAACATCTTGTGAAATAACATCTCTAATAAAATGAAATCTAACATCAACATGTTTAGATCTATTGTGTAAAACAGGATTTCTACTTAAATGAATTGCAGATTGGCTATCAGAATAAAGAACCACTTCTTTAACAAAACCAAATTCATTAAATAACCCTTTTAACCAAATTCCTTCTTTTATAGCATCGGTGGCTGCAATGTATTCAGCCTCAGTTGAAGACAAGGCCACAATCTTTTGAAGCTGGGATTTCCAGCTTATGCATGAATTACACAAAGTATACATGTATGAAGAAGTAGATTTTCTGTTGTCCCTATCACCTGCATAATCAGAATCAGTAAACCCTTTCAAAATAACACCCTCAGCCTGTTTTCTAAACTGAATCCCTAAGTTTGAGGTCCCCTTAATGTATCTAAGAAGCCACTTCATGGCTTCCCAATGTACTTCACCTGGATTTGACATATACCTACTTAAAACACTTATAGAATATGCCAAATCAGGTCTAGAACACACCATGAGATACATTACAGAACCAGTTGCATTTGGATAAGGCACATTTGCCATTCTTTCAAACTCTTCTTTAGTTTTAGGACAAAAATCATTTGATAGTTTAAAATGATTAGCCAAGGGGACACTCACACTCTTGGATTCAGCCATAGAAAACTTGCTAAGTAATTTCAAAATGTATGATTTTTGACTAAGACTTAGTGTGCCTTCTCTTCTATCTCTCTTAACTTCCATACCTAAAATCTTTCTCACCGGACCTAAGTCTTTCATTTCAAATTCAGATTTTAGCTTTTCTTTAATATCTTCAATCTCTTTTATGTCATGACTAGCTAATATCATGTCATCCACATAAAGGAGTAGGTAAAGTGAATTAGCTCCACCTTGACCTTTACAATAAAGACAAGTATCGAAGTTACTCCTCTTAAACCCAAGTCCAAGAACAAAATTGTCAAATTTTTTATACCATTGTCTTGGAGCTTGTTTTAAGCCATAAAGAGATTTCTTAAGAAGGCATACTAAGTCAGATTTGTTAGTCACTTCAAATCCTCTAGGTTGTTTCATGTAAATGGTTTCTTCTAAGTCTCCATTTAGAAAAGCAGTTTTTACATCTAATTGGTCTAATTCCCAATTAAATTGAGTGGCCAAGGCAAGAATGACTCTAACTGTAGTAAATTTTACTACAGGTGAAAAAATTTCATTGAAATCAACTCCTTCTTTTTGAGTAAAACCTTTTGCTACCAAACGGGCTTTGTATCTAATGTCATTCTCACTTTGTTCACCCCTCTTTATTTTAAAAATCCATTTACAATCCACAACCCTCTTACCCTCCGGTCTTTTTACCAAAATCCATGTCTTATTTTTGTGAAGGGATTCCATCTCATCTTGCATGGCTGCAAGCCATTGTTTGGAATCTTTGCTACTCAAAGCTCCTTCATAAGATTCAGGTTCATCCTCAATCATATCATGATAAGAAAGCAAGGAAACATCATTTTCAAACCTAGTGGGAGGTCTAATGGTCCTTCTTTCTCTATCCCTAACAAGCTGATAATCAGCTAAAGGCTGTACAGGTTCTAAATCAGCCTCAGGAACCTCACCAGGTTCAGTTTCAGCTTCAGGTGGGTCAATGTTTAGGGGGTCAGAATGGTCAGAACACTCCTCAGGTTGCTCCACCTCAATCTCAACCCTTTTTCCTACATTTTCAGATTGTTCAGAGGGCTCAAACAGGTCTGCAGGTTGCTGTTCAGACTTAAAACAGGGCAGGTCATTCTCATTAAATACCACATTTCTACTTATAATGACCTTATAGCCTCTAAGATCTCTCACCCACAGTCTATAGCCTTTAACCCCTTCCCCATAACCTAGAAAAACACACTTAAGAGCTCTAGGTTCCAATTTTCCTTCAGTTTGGTGTGCAAAAGCTGCACACCCAAAAACCCTTAGGTTACTAAAGTCAACAGGTGTACCTCTCCATTTTTCTTCGGGGATCATAAAGTCTATAGCACTTGCAGGACATCTATTTATCAGATAACTAGCAGTTTTAACTGCTTCACCCCAAAAAATTTTAGGCAGGCCAGAACACAACAACATGCATCTAACTTTATCAAGTATAGTACGATTCATTCTTTCAGCCAAACCATTTTGTTGTGGTGTGTGTGTGACTGTTCTATGCCTTAACATACCAGATAGTTTGCACATTTCATCAAACTCATAATTGCAGAATTCCAAACCATTATCAGTTCTTAAAACTTTAATTTTTTTGTCAGTTTGGTTCTCAATTAAAAGTTTCCACTCTTTGAAAACATTAAATGTGTCAGATTTTGATTTTAACAAAAAGGTCCAATTTTTTCTTGAAAAATCATCAATGACAAGCAAATAATATTTAAAACCAGATTGAGTGCACACAGTTGCTGGTCCCCACAGATCAGCATGCAAATATTCAAGTATGGAGGCAGATTTATGCATTCCAGGTAAGAAAGGAAGTCTATTATGCTTTCCTAAAATGCAGTAGTCACAAAAACTCAATTTTTCAATGTTATCTTTGCCAAAAGCACCCTGTTTTTTCAAAATCTGAAGTCCTTTATCACTAATATGGCCCAATCTCTTGTGCCATATTTGTGATTTATCATTTTGGACTGAGATTACTGCTGAAGTGGATTCCAAAAAATTTTTAGTTTGCAAAATGTAAAGGCCATGTCTCTTGGGGACTTCTACAATCAGATTAGAGTCCTTCAAGATTTTAATGTAACCCTTATTGATAACAATGTCATAGTTAAGGTCATCTAAAACCCCTAAGGAGATCAGATTACGTTGCAAGTCAGGAACATATCTAGTCTTCTCTAGAATCAACTTATTATCTCCTTTTAAGTTCAAAGTGATAGTTCCCACACCTTTTACTTGACATGTCATGTGATTACCCATTAAAACCTTTCCACCAGTTACATTTTCAAAATCTGAAAATAACTCCTTATTAGGACTCATGTGATAAGTACAACCAGAGTCAAGAATCCACTCTTGGGAAGGGGAACTACTAACAGCAACATAAACTTCATCAACATTAGACTCATTATAAGCCAAAGCAGCCCCACCATCATTTTTAGACTTGTTTTTAGAGTCATAAAGCCTTTTAGGACAATCTTTAATAAAATGACCTTCCTCTAAACAATAAAAGCACTTTTTCCCTTTAGTCATCATTTTATTCTTGTCCTTAAAGTTGCTCTTTTTCTTATGAACAGGTCTCTTGTTGTAATTACCATTTTTGGGATTAAACTTGGACTTCATCATCAAATTAATGCCACTAACAGATTCTCTCTTGTCAGATTTTAACTCTAACTCTTTAGACCTTAAAGCATTAATAATCACTTCAGTAGATAGAGTGTCCCTCCCATATTCAATTGCATTTTTAACATCTTTATATTTATCACCAATTGAATTCAATAAGACCACAGCCAACTGCCCATTTGAGAGTTTCTCGTCACAGTTGGCTAGGTCACGGGTCAATCTATTGAATCTATCAATATTAGACTCAAGGTCAAGAGAAGGATCAAGTTTAAAACCAAAAAACTGTTTTAGGAGATATACTTTATTTGGCATAGCTTTATTCAAATAAGTTTTCTCCAATTTATTCCACAATTCAGCAGTAGTCTTAGTCTCACCAATTTCTCTAATCACATTGTCAGACAAATGAAAGAAAACAATACTCCATGCAGTTTCATCTTATTCAGTTACTTTACTAGATTCAAGATCAGTAGACCATGACTAATCAATAGACTTATCACATTTTTGTTGAAGTAAAAGAGCTCTCATTTTCTGGCGCCAGTGACTAAAGTCTCATTTGCCATTAAAAACTTCCATTTCAAATTGAAGAAGTCATTTTTGAAAAAATATGAATGAAATGGATGTATACAGATCAATCAGACACTAACCAATAACTTGCAATGCAGATCAGTCACGTATCACCACACAATGGACACAGCAGAATATGCAGATTGCAAGTATATAGAGCAAGCACTTCAGAATTATACCACACTGTACACAATTTAACCAAATCAATACAAACACAATTGTACAAAGGCAAAATTATATACAGTGTAGCGACTGAG